TGCATATCGAGTCCGTGCATACGAAACTGGAGACGTATTCAAAGGCCGAAGCAGAATGGGAGTCGCTGAGGAGGAGGCTTGAAGAGGATGTGAGGAGTGGTCTGGATAAAAGGGAAGCCTTGGCAAGAGAGCTTGAGGACGTGAGACGAGACAGGGATTCAGCGAGGAGAGATACCCTGACCCTCGAAAGTCGTGTCAAGGCATGTTGTCATTTTTCCATTGATGACATCTCTTTCTAACGTTATTCACAGTCCCAGCCACCCCCTTCCTCATCACATCTGCGCACACCATCAACATCTTTTGAAAGCTCCGATTCGGAAGTATCCCGTATCATCTCCATCCTCCAACCTCTCTGGACAACACTCCCTTCTCCCGAAGCGCGCGCCGCAAAGTTCGTGTCCACCAACCGACCCTTCCGCACTGGGTCGCCTGTCTCTGGGTCATCAACCAGCAGCCCGAGCACTGTCTCCTCACTCTCCGACCTCGACGTGCGCTCGCTCAAATCCCTCTATGACACGCGGCAAAACGGGCCCGCCAGCCCCCTTTCGCCCAAGTCAGGCACCAATGGTCTCCCGGCGCCATTCACCATCGAGGCGTTCGCGGCACGCGTGCAGGCTCTGGTGAACGATGACAAGGCGCTGATTGAGCGCTTGTTGCGGTTCGCGCAGGCTCATGATCTGCTCAAGAAGAACGCTGAGCGTGCGCAAAAGTTGGCACAGGATGGGACACATGCGCTGGAAGCATACCAGAAACAGACACGGATTTTGGAGGAGAGGAATATGTCGATGGCTGCGAGGCAGTCTGCTTTGTACGTATATTTCCGTTCTTGGGATTTTTCAATTTTGGCTTGGGGAGGCTCATTGGACCCTTTAATTCACCCAGGCAAGAGGAATTGCAATTGTTGCACGACACTATCGAACGGATCACGGCTGAGAGGCGCGAGCTGGAAAGCCTGGCTGCGGAACAAGCACAGACGTGTCAGCAGCTTACCGAAGCCAACAATACCCTCAGCGCGCGTGCGTTGGCGCTCGCGGAGGAGGCGGCGCACGCCCCGGAGATGATGCGGAAGCAGTACGAGACGCAGCTGCAGGAGCTGAAGAAGGCACTGGAGCTCGCGCAGGATGAGGTGGACGCGATGCGCACGTCGGAGCAGTCTCAGCGGATTGCGCTCCTGGACGAGCTGAATTCGATGCAGACGGAGAATGGGAGCTTGAGAGCGCAGTTGAGGGCGGCGAAGAAGTAGGCGGGGTCTGGTAAACTGTTCTTTTCTTCCTTCTCCTTGCCTGCTTTTTTCTTTTTTTCGAGTGCATACCCCTTTCATTTTCTTGGATTATGATCGTGACGACAGAACTTTTTAAATGAAGGATACCACCATACCATTCTCACGATCTTTGATACTCATGCTTCATCGACATCTCTCATGATCTATACGATACATCGAACATACATTATTTTGTTGAACTTCCCCTCTGATAGGAAGTCATCTTCTCAAACCACTTTGACTTCATCAACAATCAACCAAAAATGCACAGGTACTTTACAATCCTTTGGGAGGCCTGTAAAAATACTTGGGTCAAACCAAAAGCGCACAAAATGTTATGTAAATAACGTTTGTTGGAGGTCACTCGACACTCGCATAACCTGCAGCTATAAATTCTGAATTCCGTAACTACTACATATACAATGTCATGCGGACTCTGGAAAAAAAACAAGGAGTGCCATGAGAATGCTGAGATGAAGTGCATCTATTTTTCTGGGTCTAGAGGTAAGTGATAGACTGCTTTAACGAGGCTATCCCACTCAGGATTAAACCGCAAATCCAGGCTTTTCCCCACCGGTGTAATGCCAACAACATATACCTTCTCAACGCCCAAGGACTTGAGCCACGCGAAACCAGCATCAGGAACGAAATGCTTATCACGGGTCATGACTTGCAGGACCGCTGCCGTCCGTATCGTTTCGTCGTAAAGAAATCCATCAAACATTGCCTGATCTTTGTCTTTGACATGCGGGTAGTAAAATCCATTTTCCAGCACCAGTGGTTCATCCATGTAGAATCCCGTGATTTTGAGCTTACCAGGGGTGTGTTTTGTGCAACTGGAGAGTCGTGAAAAGTGGAATGGAGGACCGCCATCGCACCCGACACAAAAAAAGGTATCTGGATCTTGGGGCAAAGAGTTTCTCTTCGGGAGGAATTTTTCCATGGTGATGACAGACCGTTGGCCTCCGCGAGGAATAAGGTATCGAGCGAAGTCTTCATATATATAGTCAATAGCGAATGTTGTTTCCGTTACTTCTTTGAAAATTTCATGGAGCAGGAGTGCACCCTGAAGCGCATCCTTCCTGGTATAATCCCTTATTGTCTCGTATAAGAACCTTGTTGGGATATCCGTGAGATGCTCCAGCCGGGTATCCGCGCTTGGTGTAATGAGCACGAGATGATGAGACACCTTCTTGTCGAGGTCGAGCAACCGGCCACTATGGATGATTTCCAGTGTCTGATCCCCGCTTAAATCCTCCAATGTCTCCATTATAAGCCTTGCATACATATCTTGAGCAGAACCATAAATGAATGCTTGACGGGCAGCTGCGATGAAACGATCCAAAAACGTTTTGAGATTCAACTCGGAAGCTTCCTCCCCTGTCTGTACGGATCGGCTATAAATATATTGGTCAGTAATCAGAAAAAATTACTCTATAATCAAAAGACATACGCAGCGATAAGCTCTTGCAAGTCCCATTCTCTCATAAAAAATCTGTAGACTCGACGAGGAAACTTAGTCCACCAGTCGGTCCTCTCCGCATGTGGTGATGTCGTTTGTATAATGAACTTTCGCAGAGCGGTTATGGCCTTGGGCACCTCCGGAAGACGGTCATTGGAATCGACTAGACACCAGGAGTCGTCGGTGATTAAAGTAGAATTGAGAGCGGTGACGTTAACTTTCTTCACGCCTGAGGAGTTAATGATGTACGCAGTGTCGTTCTCCTCCATACAAATGGAGGGGAGTGACGCCAGCATCCGGCACACGAGCACATAAAGCAAGAAAAGCGTTTTGCCTGACAGAAATGAGAAAGATTCTTCCTTAAGCAAATAGGTTTTAACATACCAATGCCAGGGTGACCAATCAAAGTAACAGCGCGTGGACGACTGGGGGACGACGAATAGAGAGGAAACGGATTTAGATATGGATCCCCCGCTGGACTCAAGTTGGGGGGGAGTTCATGACGATGCTTAGATTGGCTGGGTTCTCCACCCTGTGCAATGAGGATTACGAATTCCAAGGCTATAAGATATTCTCGCCGTATCATGATAGCTGATATTTCATAGTTTCTCAATAGCATCGGAGGAAGATTCAGAACCGTGCAGGTTTCCGGTGTGTCAATATGCGGAAGTGTGCCATCGCGGTCAATTTTATGGATTTGGAACAAATTGGTTGCTGAGCCCTTTCCCCATGCATCTTGCCAGAGGAGATTTAATCCTTCCAATACCGAGTCCAAGCCTATTGGGTGGCGTCAACTGAAGAACCGGGCAGATAGTCATTGGGAGGAAGAGATATTCACCCAATGTGTCCTCGATTTTCAAGCGTTTCGCGCGGTCAGGGCGACTGGAGGAATGTCCGCGTTTGAGGGCATCTGAGTAGATAGAATGAGCAATGAGTATGGGACAGACGATATGAAATGAGTTGCTTACTGGAAATAATGGATTTGTCGGAGGAGCTGGGATTGAATCCTGGGACGCCACACATGAGTATGGGGAAAACAGTGATGTAATCTCACATACCCGGAACCTTGATGAGGATATGGATGCATTGCCCTTGAAGGGTATCGCCCTCGAAAACGCTGCCGATGGTGTAAATCGGATTCAATGAATCATTGGAGTTCAAGTCCCCAACCTCGTGTGGCGTTAACTTATTCCATTTCCACAACTTGAGGTGCCAGGGTTCAAACTGCGCGAAAGTAAGCTTGTGCTGGTCTATGATGTATTGTTTGAGGTGAGCAACAGTTCTCTCCGGATCTATATCCACCTCAAAGACTGCATTCGGCTGATTATGGATAGCGCACAGGAGATGGAATGTTGGCATCCTTGAGTGCGTGCAAGAAAAGAAGTACGCGGAGACAAGTTTCAGAAAAGTGGTTGTAACTGGCCTTCGCCGCGAAACACCTTTTCAAACTGAGGCCGGAATGGTTCTTTCTTCAGGCTTCGCCTCCGCCTCAGCGATTTTCACTCCGAGTCCATTCCTATCCCTTTACAGTGCCCATCTAAATCTCATCCAAGACTGGCACGACTTTTTCCTCTGAACTTGAAGGTATTCGACGTCGTCGTGAAGCCTCTCATACGGTTGTCAACGAGGCCGTGTATTGCGGGCTCGTAGTAGAGCAATTCTGTCGGACTTACGCTTGCCTGCAACTTCTGCTGAAGCCGAAGACTATGGACGACAGAATCGACAGTCAGCCACCCCAGTCTTCAACCATACAAAAGGGCTCGCGAGATTTTGCTGGTTGTAAGCATGCTATGGGAGATATTACTTTCACAGCGAAACCGTCTTGTTCCGTCGCTTCGTCTTGATCTGTTGCTCTGTCCTGCGGATCAGCTCTATGTCCTACTCGCTGACGGGACGAGCGTTAAATACTAAGCGAGGCGTGCTCTCATGCAATTTTTCAAGGACCTAGTATCCTTTATTTGTGCTGTCGCGGCCTTTTCTTTGCTGTCGCCTGAGAAACTCGGATCCGATCTTACCATGGAATGATGAGTACCGGGGAAAGAGCCACTTCATGTGTGAGACGAGGCCCTTCATCTTGAAGCTTGAAGGTCTTGAGGCCCGTCAACAGAAGACAAAAGTTTAGTAGGTGAAGTTATATCTAGCACAAGCATATCAGTATGTTCCTGCTGTATCCTTTCATCCGTACTTTGCCGTACTTTGAACCTCTTCAACTGTAGTGCATAACACTTTTTGACCAGAGAAATGTTCCAAAATTGGGGTAAAAAAACCTGTTGCTGAAACCCCCGGTGGGGATCGAACCCACAACCTCCAGATTAGAAGTCTGACGTCATAACCATTAGACAACGGGGGCTTGTCAATAAACTGGATAATGAGAATGATGTTGTTTTGGACGAGTATAATGAAAGTTAGAATTTTAACTTTGAGATCTTGAACCTGTTGTTGAACATGGCGTCCGCTCGGTCGAGTTCACCAGTGACCATCTCGCGCCGAAGTCGTTCACCGTCTGATGGGGCTATTCATCACTCGCCTGTTCAGAGCCGTTCATTCGATCCCCATGATCCTCAGGTAATGGAACGCCAGCTTACCATGGACGTCGACATGGCCATGCAGCTCTCTCTCGCCCGCAGAGACACTTTGGTCGCCCCTCCTGTCGTTGCCTCCCCGCAGTCCATCCCGTCCCCGTCCAACGAGGACGAGCCCCACATATTCTCAGAGTCTGATCATCAAAATGACACGCTTTTCGAAGACACCGCCATCCCTCAACCACCTCTCCAACGCTCTGAACCTTCTCTTCTTGCTCCTCGTAATAATGATGATCCCCAGGCCTCCAATTTCGGCTTGCCAACCTATCAGGCAAATGTCTCTCAGTCTGCCTTTGATTTCGGCATGATGGAAGAATTTGCAGCGGCAGAAAAGACTCAGTTGGGCCTCAATTCTTCCCCTACCACTCGTTTCTCTCTCCCTCCCCTGCGCGGTCGTCGAAAACCAGATAATTTGCCTCCAACAGATTCTGAACACTATGCCCTCGCCTCGGGGTCTGGCCAGCCCGTTCAAAATGCTGATGTTCAACCAGCCGAGCCTACAACCGATGCGGCGACCGAAGACAGTTCCAACCGACCTCTTCGTCACCGCAAACTCAGCCAGAGTAATAGCGCCCCCCGTACTCATCGCAAGGGCATCGGCGGTAAGATGGCCATGTTCGAGTCAAACCCTAACGAAAATCCATCCTCCTTCTCTGCCCGCCTCGGTCTTGCACTCAATACCCAATCAGGTATAGGCCTAACCACAGGCGCGAACTCCTACGAGCATATCACCGGCCTACCTGGGGTCAGTCCCGGGGGCGGCGGCATCTTACTAAACACAGGCCACGATAGGCCTTATCGTTTCTCCTTTTACTCCAACGCCCTCAGTGCCACCATCCATGCCCGGAGTTTGAGCGAATTGCCAGCTGATGGGCAGACCTTCGAACAGCTTTTCACGGGCTTGCAGTCCACCGATACATCTACGGTAGATCCCAACAAACGTCCTTCCACAGCTGCGACATCCCCTCCATATCAGGAAACCCTAGGCGGCAGACCTGGTGCTAACAATCACGCACCTGGGAATTCGACAGGCTCCAACCCATCCAATAATTTCAAACGGTCATCTAATGGCCATCCAGAGAAGGCGGGGCCAAACGGTGGTGGTGGCGGCGACCCAGCTCCTGCTGACCACGATTCGAATACATGGTGGTTGGACGTGCAAAGCCCAACGGACGAAGAGATGAAGATGCTCAGCAAGGTACATGCCCTTTATTTCATCTTTCAAATATTTCTCACAAACCTTCCTCCAGGTGTTCTCCATCCATCCACTGACAACCGAAGATATCCTCATGGAAGAAACCCGCGAAAAAATCGAGTTATTCAGGAACTACTACCTCGTCTGTTTCCGTTCCTTCGACCAGGACCCATACAGCCCTACGCATCTGGAGCCATTGAACATGTACATCATCGTCTTCCGCGAAGGCACATTATCCTTCCACTTCCGCCCCACCCCCCATCCGCAAAACGTCCGCCGGCGGATTAAGCAGCTCAGAGACTACATCAGCGTCACCTCCGACTGGATCTCGTATGCCCTCATCGACGATATCACCGATGCGTTCGGGCCGTTGATCCAGGGTATTGAATACGAAGTCGATAGCATTGACGAGTTGGTGCTGATTCTGAAGGAGACGGAGCAGAGCGATATGTTGAGGAGGAGTGGGACGTGTAGGAAGAAGGTGATGGGGCTGTTGAGGTTGATGGGGAATAAGGCGGACGTGGTGAAGGGCCTTGCGAAGAGATGTAATGAAAATTGGAGGGTCGCGCCTACGTCAGATATTGTATGATTTTTCTTCCTTTTCTTTCATATTTATGCGTGTCCTGATGGACTTGTATAGGGCCTTTATTTATCGGATATCCAGGTACGCCTCATCGTTTTTTTTCGTCGCTGTTAGTTAAGTCGCCGTTGCAGGACCATTTGATCACGATGACACAGAATCTGAATCACTACGAAAAAATCCTCTCGCGATCACACTCCAACTACCTCGCACAGATTTCCATCGAGATGACGGACGCCAACAACCAGATCAATCACGTACTCTCCAAGCTGACGGCGATGGGTACAGTCCTCATTCCGATGAATTTGGTTACTGGCAAGTCCTCTCTTTTCTTTGTTTTCCCTTCCCTTAATAATAACCAATAAATAGGTCTGTGGGGTATGAACGTCCATGTTCCAGGCGAGGGCGTACCGGTGTGTGCCTTTTTTCTTCCTTTCCCTTTTTTTTAATCATCTTTTGACCTGAAAAACGACAATAGGGCTATGCCTGGTTCGTTTCTATCATCGCATGTCTAGCGGCGTTCGCGATCGTGGGCGGCTATTCGACATATAGATTCATGGTGCGCAAATGAACGGCCACCGGGTGGGGGAAAAACAAAACCCACCGCTGCTGCCATTGGATTTCTCTCTTTTCTTTCTTGCTCTGCCAGGCGCCTGGCTGACGGACGGCGGCGGAGGCACACGACGCGGTGTTGTTATCAATTCTCGTATGCCTCTCTATTTAATCATCGCCTCCTCGCCGTCGTTCCGGCCCCGCTCGCTCCTCTCCTTTTTTTGAGTTTTAGTTTTTTTTATGTACGTTCATGAACTCGGTCATATTTCCGCGGATTTCCCTTGGTTTATTCAGGTTTTTTTTAATATGTTTATCCCTCGTCTATCGTTGCACACGTTTTTGCTTTTCCTTTTTTTTTCAACGTCAAATCGCAATTCCACATAACCCCATACATACATATGTGCTCTCGTTCTCCTCAAATTCCCTGCTCCTCACCTCGAACTATTTTGCATATTCTCCTTTGTAGAACTATCGACATCAACCTTTCTTTATTCTATTTCCTTCATAAACGACACATACATAGATCAACCAATGATGACACAAGACGAATAGAAAGTACCCCTCTGAAACTATCTGCTCAGCGAGCAGATATAGTGAAGAACTTCCAGGTCGAAATCGATGAACCACCGGGGACAAACTCCTATCTATGTGTTCGACCGATATGCATGCGTTATGCTATCTTCCAAGTATCGTTGGACGTTTGCAACTTCAAAGAGGTTCCACAGAAATGGGCATGGATTGGATACATCGACGATTATTTTAAAGAAACATTCGAAAGCGGAGGGTACTAGCATTAGCGAGATGAAAACATGTGAGGAGGGTAAGTCGATGACGATATAAGGTAAAGAAAAAAAAAAAAGAAGGTTGGAATGAACTACAGCACTTGTAAGTAAAAGCCAAAGTCGCACATAAACAAACCGTTGGTGCAGAGAACGAAACAATTACAATCAGGGGGAGAAAATCAAGAAAAGAAACTATTCATACAGGACGCGCATCACCCGAGATGAGCGTGTTCATGGGGGGCAGTACAGGCGAACCGCTGCTGCCATTTCGCAGCGGTGGGAGCTGATGGGTTCTTGGTGGGGATGCATGCACTGTTTGGTTCGTGGGTGACATGATCATTGCCAACGATGGCGAGAGCGTTTGTTGTGGCGGCTGTGCCGGTCGAAGTGGCGGGGACAACGTTGTCGGAGTCAATAACGGTCCAGCGTGTCTCTTCAGTGGATACGATGACGACGAGTATATGGGCCGCATGTCCTCCTCTGATGGGTGTTGTTGGTGATGTTGTTGCTCTGGGGGTCGCTGTTGCTGATGTTGCTGCAGCGGGGGTTCTTCGACGTGTTTCCTCTTCTTCGAGCTTGACGCCGACGGTTGAGGAGTTCCATTGGATCGCCGCCGTTGTGTTGATGGTGGCATTGTTGGAGTCGACATGGTACCCCACCTTGACCATGGTGGAGGTGGAGGTGCATGCCCACTGGGCGTAGGGACTGCAGGGAAAGAAGCCATCGAAGATTCGGAAGAGTGTGCTGCAGGAAGGGATCCATGCGAGCTATGATGTGAAAATGACAAACCTGTATTAGAGTGCTGAGCCTTAGGTGGTATGTGATGGTTCATGATCATCTGTGGCCGTGGGGGCGGGGCGCTCGCGCTCGTCGACATTGTTCCATCCAGTCCAGGTTGGAATTGAACAAGTTCAACGAACAGGGTGTGTGTTTGTGGCGGAGGTAACTTCTTGAGGACAAGGGATCTGCTAAAGGTATCGAGCATCTCCTTCGTATTCACATAGACATCTAGCGGTTGCTTTTCTTTTGTCAAGGCTTCTGCGCGACCTAGGCGTTAAGACACGAATAAAAGAGAAGATAGATGGAGAAATACCGTTCGGAATAACCCTGACGTCAGAATATTGGTATATCTTGCCCTTCCGCAAGCAACAAATCGGACACAGGATTCGGGCAGCAGGTGGGAATTGGGTCGGGAGGAAAACACATCCAGCATGATATCTCCTGTTACAACTCTCGCATTCCACCGTAGGATATCCTGGCGGAAAAGTGGTTCTTCCCCGACATATGCATCTTGTAGCGTCAGCGGCATCCTTGTCAATGTCTTGTCCAAAGGTGAAACGAGGTCTCTTCCTTTTCTTGGGTCTGGTGAGAGCCGGCCGACCAGCAAGAATGCGGTGCAAACCAGCAAGATCTAAGCCGAAAGAGATATCTGGATTGGGTGATACTGCAAACTGGATTTTGTAGAGTTTGCGCATGTAGTGCCGAACCTGTGGGATGTATTCTGTCCGCTGGTTCTCAACAGCGGATGTGTATGACAAAAATTGACCAATGACGGCAGAGAGGCGATCAACTCGATGCACAATGATTTCCAGCTGCTTATAATCCTCCGAATAGTGTTTGGAGATATCAGGTGCAGTGGAGAGCATGGTGGGCAGGTAA